ATAAACCCATCCTAGCTGATCTTATAAATAGACATTTCATTCATCCCTGTCTATATCATGTTTTGTTGCCTACATTACATTGAAAGGAATCATCATCATCAACCAGAGATCACGCACAACCAAGTTAAATGCTGGTGGATGCCGATACCTGGCATTTATATTACATTAGGCATAAAAAACAACAGAATCAATTGAAGCAGATGGAATCCATTGGACAAAACTGATTTTTAGAGGATATCCATACCTCTCTAATGGCTAAGCAGTTTCACCATGGAATTCCATCATGGTAGAATTCCCATTGTGTTACAGCCAGATTTATGGATATAAAGGTTCCACGCTTACGATGAAACAGTTGATGGGGGAGTGGATGCTGGATATTTTATGTTGATGAACAACCCCAGGATTGACATCTCTTTCTCATCTTACAGAGGCAACTGTGTCAATCGAGAACAATTACAGTATAAAGAAAGAGGAGGAGATTAAGCATTTGTGGACTACCATCTTGATTTTCTTTATTTTCTTCCTGCTCAGCGTGTGTTACAGTGCCACTGTAACATTGTTCAAAGTAAGTAAAGGGTAAAAAGAGGGATGTTGCAAAATGCATTTGTTTTTGTCCTAGGTACAGGATGGAAAGATGCTGACCTAAATATTTTGGAAATAGAAGAGTAAGAAAAGAAGAAATGGTGGATAGACTATGAGTGGTCCTTATGGATACGTATTACTCTTTTTTTCCCTTTTTTAAACTTTCTGATGGCTCCCAGAGCCAGTGGGTAGGTGGAAGGGTAGTACTTGGAGGGTGTGGACGAGAAGGGTTGAACAGAAGGCAACTTTTAGTCACGACAGATTAGTGAAGGTACAACAGGAGGAATCAGGCTAGCTTTCCAAGGAAGGGAGGTTGGGAACAGGGTGCTAGTTTCTGCTACCAGTTCAGTGACCTCACTCCTGGGTCCAGGTAGCCAGTCCACAAGGCCTTGATCTCAAGCTGGCGCTGGTAAACATCAAATCCATGACTTGCTTGTAAACGATTGAACACACTGATATGTATTATCAAAACCTGGTTGGGCGAGCATGGAGCAGTTGCCCTATCTGAGATATACCTTCCCAGGTTTATGGCCTTCACCAACCATGACCCCAAGATAGTGGAGGAGGGGTGGCAATGATCTTCTGAGATATTTTGGGGGTGATGATGGGACTTGCTGTAGAGGTGATGGATTGTCAGTGCCGGTACAAGTAGTCCTTGTGTTGCAACCACAATTGGGACCGGCAACTTGATCATTAAGTGAAGCAGTCACTAAGTGAAACTCTGACTGTGCTTAAGATCTTACTTCAGCTTCCCTTTACTTTCAGACCTGTGAAGGTCATAAATGCAAGGATTGGTCATAAAGTTACTTTTTCATCACTATCATAACTGGGAACAGTCGCTAAATGAGCAGTCGCTAAACAAGGACTATTTGTATGCAAATTTAGGGTGTTGGGGGTAAGCTGAAGATGCTGTTTGGGTTCTGCCATCTTGCTGCAAGACACAGAGCTTTCTTGGGCTCCCAGACCCCATCACAGGCCTGGT